GAGGAACTCGAACTCGATTTATTGATGGATGAAGACAAGTCAAGGGCTGCCCTAGCTGAAGCTTTAGTTTCTTTCCTGCATGTCCCTCCTCAGATTTGCCACTCCGTGGTGGAAAAAATAGTACAAGAATCCCTAGTCGCTGAAACTGATTCTAGACCTTATAGTGATGGCATGTTTGTTCATATGGCAGCGTTCATCACTGTTGTTGTTGATGATGTATTTGAGGGCTTGGAGACGGATGACCCTAAATTTGTGCCTGCAAGTAAGTCATCGATCGAGAAGCTAGAGAGGGCCAGGGTGGAAGTATCTGCGGCGTGTTCGGTTTGCATGGAGGAGATGGAGGTTGGTTCGCAAGCAATTCGCATGCCCTGCTCGCATCTTTACCATAAGGATTGCATTGTTGAGTGGTTGGAGAAAAGCAGGGTTTGCCCACTGTGCCGCTTCGCCATGCCTTCCGAAATAAGAACAAAAAATTAAGTGATTAATTTGGCCACGGAGGGCTTTTAGTTCATGGTTCACTCGACATGCATTTGTTTTGTTTTGATGTTAATTTGTGCAATTTATCTGAAAGTTTGATGCGTTGGTTGTTCCTTTAGTTGCGGTATCCTTTTCTTATTGCTGAAACCATATCTATCTGTTTTCCAATAATATATACTTCCGATATCAGAAGAGTGAATGCCACTGCCTATAATCTTATCAGTTTCATGCCATCTGTTCATTTTAAATTACTCGACCTTGAAGTTATTCAAGCTCCTACCAAATTATTTACTCGTCCACATGGAAAATTTCATGCCATTTAACGTGATTATGACTGATAGGATTTTTACTACTTATGTGAACGGGCTTAAATCTTCTATTCTACTTGCAAGAATCACAATATTATTGTAGTATAAACGGATTTCGCAAGGTCATCTCCACAGGGATTATTAAATAATTCGAACTAATCAGATTCCTCTGATTATTGTAAAGTAGAAATTGAAGTGATTGATTTTATAACCTAATTAAAATAAAAACGAATTTAATGAATTAAAATAAACAATCTGCAATATTAGGACTAGAGAGAAGAAAACAGTTCTGAGAAAATCAAATTAAGAAAGCACTAGGGTTCCACCATCACCTAGCAATCCTATGAATTTTTACCCATTACTTATGATCCATACATGCTACTTTGAAGGTTAGATTTTCCTAATTTATATTCTACTTGGAACCTCCAACATAGAACGTATATCTAACATGCAACCCGTTCGGACGTTCGGACGTTCGGATCAAATCTGAACATGAAAGACTCATTATGCTTTATGAAAATCCTTTGAAAAACCATGCAATCCTTAAGACGTGATATTCATCCTAAGTGAAATTACAATTATTAATCACAAGAAGCCAGCGTCAATTTCAGGGAACCTTCCGACCAAAATTGCATCAAATTACTTTTCTAAAAATCCTAATGGTGATCAGGCATTAAAACAATTAGATAGTTTTTATCCCGGTGATTAACAATTCAAAGTACGCATGCAATCAATCATAAGAAATTAAATAAAAATCACATATTCATGCTAAGGCTCAAGGTTTCACCCTAGCAAAAGAAATTAGTTCTGCATATTCATAATTGAAATCATAGAAATATCTATTAAGAAAAGAATTGAAAACACCTTCAAGTAGAAAAATCTTCAAAACCCTAGCACTTCTCTCTGTCTCCAATATTGCATAAAATAAAGCGTAGTGAAAAATTGTAGACGGCCAAGCAATATATTTTCTAAGCCACCACACAAACCCTAATCCCCCTAAAGACAAACATAACCCTAAATTAAAATAGTAAAAATTCGTCCAAAATCTGAACAGCCACGTTTTGACCCATAAGCTGCTCCAAAACTAGCCCAATATAGCTGGATTTAATGTTTGAAATATTCTGAATACTTTTCCAGAAGGCCACGAACCCATCCGAGGTCATCTTGGGCTCCAAAAACTCAATTTAAGCCCAAAAACGTCATTTTCCAACACTGTGCACTACTTCTTTATTTCATCGTCAGAAAATAACCGCTTGGTGGAAAAATCCCAAATTTTGATACAATCAAGCTAAGTGACTAATGAACGTCCTCCAACTGGAATTACTCCAAAATTCGTCCATTTGGTCCTGTTTTGCTCCAGAGGAAGTCGAAAGTCCTATATTGAAAATACAATTCAAAGTATCAAAATTCTTCCAATATATTAACCAAAATATACTAAGATTAGGGTAAAATATATAATATAAAATCTACTCATCGACACATTAATTATATTTGGATCTCAGCTTGTAGTTCATGTTAGCCATTAAATTCGAAATCCAACTAAAATTGCTGTATTGGAAACACTTGTGAATTCAAACTGAGAGAAAGCACATGTAAATTTGAATGTAATTAGATAGTGGTAAACAAGTAGTATTACCAGATAATCTATAGAAAAACATGGCGAAGAACAGATGAAATTCTTTCACTATTCCTTTAACAAAGTATTACTTTCATGGTTAAGATAGGATAAGATTATATTGGAAAATCAACCATTACAGAACAGAATTGGATATTCAATATGTACTATGTCAATTCAGAGTCGTTGGGGGATATGGTTGCATGTCGTCCTGTGCGTTTCTAGTCTTATGGTGGAGGCGGAGGAGGTGATCGGGCTGCTCTCGTTGTTTGTGTAGAAGAAGGTTTCATGGAGGTTGAGTGGAGTCGGATTCGAAAACTCTCATTGACATGATTAAGGGTGATATCCAAATTGACGCTGGGATGGAAGGGGTGCTATTTGATATACAAAGGCTTAGACAACAGTTGAAGTCGGTTGTATTTGTGTTTGCTCCCAGCTGGGCGGAACACCTAGTGGCTTCTTTGTGACTCGTAATGGTGCGGTTTATAGGTGGGATTAGTTTGAGCCTATATGATACATTTGCATCCAATGTTACTGTTTCCATTTGAATCCAATATAATTTTCTATCATGTGACCGAAAAAAGTACTTCAAAACAGGAAAGTACCACTACATGAATATTAATTATTAGGGGCGTTAGATTAGTGGCAAAAATATGAATGTGTCTCTATTAATTTGAATTAGGGGCGGTAATTTATAAATTTTTTTCGAAAATCCGAATGTATTTAATTAGAATTTTTAAAAAGTCTATAACAATTCAGGTGTAGGAATTTGTTTTAGAGAATGCTACCTACCTTCTCCATTTGCTTTTCATATCTACCTTCCTCACTTATCACTTGACACGTGTATTCCACTAGCAAAATAAACCACATAATTAATGCATTGAAATCATAAATTTTACTTTTCCACCTTAAAAGCATGAATTATGTAGTTTAATTTGCTAGTAGAATATATGTGTCAAGTGATGAGTGGGGAAGGTAGATAGAGAAAAACAAATAGGGAAAGTAAGAGCATGTAGATGTCAAAATTACCATGTAGGCATACAACAGTAAAAAATGACAGCAAACTCTCTCCAACCGAACCTTCAATTTCTAAGGTGGCGTTGAGTTATTTGAAGGCAAATCCTTTTGTAGTCAAATTTGACAGCATATGACAAAATTATTAAATGATATTTTAATAGATTAATATAATATATAATAAATGTTGTTATGTTTTTGAAATATTTGATTGGTTGTCGTAATAATTGGACTCTACAAAAAGACAAAAAGTTTATTAAATGACGTTATTATTTAACATATCGGGTGGAGCAAAATATTGTATAAAATGTCAAATTGCCACATAAGCTATCAACTATCATTTTGATGTTTAAAATTTGACATCTCTTTTAGAGATGCTCTAACTAGCATTTCTCTTTATTTTAAAGAGTTTTAAAAATTGAGGAATTTGAGGAAATTAGAAAGAATTCATGGTATATTTTAAGTATTCACAAATCTCACAATTCTTCCGAAGTATTTTAAGCATTCATAAATCTCACAATTCCTTCATAAATTTCGAAGAAATTGAATTAAAATTATATATGGAATATCTACAAATCAATTAAACTCAATTATATCTATAGAATAATCCCTCCTTAATTTATAATTTTAGAGTGTTTTTGGCCTTATTAATATCAAAACTTAAAATGTTTCTCATTTTAGAGAATAAACACATCTAATAGCATATAAAAACAAAGTTTTAAAGAGAAATCAACTTAAAATAAAGGTTTAGATTTTGATTTGTGTGCCTTTTTTATACGCTTCTCATTATATATTCTTCAAGGTTCTAAAACACGTTAGAAGTTGGTCGGGCGGCAGGCTGGGATGTAACGTCTAGACGACTAGATGGAACTTAGACGAATTTAAGTAAATCTATTATATTTCGTATAAATAAATGTTTGTTTATATTTAAAATGTATATAATTTCATCAAAAACTACAAAATAAAATGACATATATATTATGAAGCATTGGAACATAAAGAAAACATGGGGAACAAGCATATAATATGAGTTCATTTACGTATTCAACAAGTACCTTACAATTTATTGAAAAAAATAAATAAAATGCAAAATGAAAGTTATATTTTTTTCTATTTAAGTGAGTCGCAACTTAGGCGGGTCTTAGGAGAGCGCTTTAACAGGTTTAGGCGTCATTTCTTAATTTTCAAATACCTAGGCATTAATTGGGACGATAACTAACCGCCTAGGCGGGAATTTTTTAGAACACTCATATTCTCACCATCATTTTTCTAGTCAAAATTTTTTATTTATCTCTACACAAAAAATAAACATTAAAAACTAAAAGCGAAATAGTAATAAAGAGTAGCAAGTGGCTCTTTACTGCAGCGTTGAAAATGAGTTGAATTCTTTCATGACGGCGTGAGTCCTTTATCTATCGGTGACTAATCTAATATTTAATCTAACAAAATTCATGTTTGACAAGAAAGAAAAGTAATAAAGAGTACGAAATGTCCACAGTGCAATCTAGCATTTTTGTTCCAAATTTCAATTATTTGACAAGGATAAAAAAATGAGACCGAGTATATGGGCTTAAAATGGTTTCAGTCCATTACACTGTTTCGTTTGACGATTGGAACAGAATGCCAAACGCAACCGGTAGCTGTGTTATATAATTGGATCTCAATTTTCTGGTGGGAAACAAGTACAGATCCTTCCGATTCCACAATTTGTTTTCTTGATTTTTCAGAAATTCGGAATCTGAAATCTGAAATTGCGAAATTGAGTCGAGGGAGCAGCAGAATCCCCAGCAATGTCGAGCGACGGCGACGACGAGGACGAGCTCCTCCAGATGGCTCTCAAGGAGCAAGCCCAGCGCGACGTCAACTACAGGAAGCCCACCTCCAGCAACTCCCGTTCTGCCCCCGTAGCCAATTACGTCCAGCAGCCCCACCAGCAACCGCCGAGGAAACCCGCCGCTTCTCCTGCCCCCAATCACGCCGGCAAAACCAGCAACAGGCGGCGGGTGGTGGACGACGACGACGAATCTGATGTCGACATGCTCAGCATATCCAGCGGCGATGAGGACTCCACCGCCAAAGATCAGCAGCGCGCGCGGTATCGAGGCGGCAGCGCCGCTTCTGCTGCTGCTGCCGCCAGACGTGGTTCTCGGGGAGATGATGATGCCGCTTGGGACGGCGGAGAGCCCGGTATCTGGAAGCACGTCGACGAGGCCGAGGTATACATATAATACACATTTGAAGAGAATTGGGTAATTGAATGCTTTGAGTTTTCAGTTTTGGGAATGATTTTGGTTTGTGTTGGCAGCTTGCTCGTAGGGTTCGTGAAATGCGAGAGACAAGATCAGCACCGGTGGCCCAAAAGGTTGAGCGCAAAGTTTCGACAGCAGGCTTGGCACGAAAGGGGCTTAACAATTTGCAGTCTTTCCCACGGGGCATGGAATGCATTGATCCCCTAGGCTTGGGGTTAGTACTTTATTCCACTATTTTCCGAATTTATTTAAGAGTGGAGGGTCTCACTTTTCACCTGCATTTGCATTTGTGTTGTTCTTACAGGATCATAGACAACAAAACGTTAAGATTGATTACTGAGTCGTCGGACCATTTTCCGTCCAAGGATGACAAACTGGATAACAACCTTCGTGGTAATGTACCACCTTCGCTCTTGCTATGCTGTATTATCTTCTTATTCTTTGTATTTAATTGACTTCCAAGTTTCTAGTTTCTAGTACCACCTTGCCGTTTTGCTTAACAAACACTAATACGTGAATTGGATTATTTACAGAGAAGTTGTTGTATTTCTCTGAGAAATTTGATGCCAAGCTCTTTATATCACGGATACACCAAGATACTGGTGCAGCAGATTTGGAGGCGGGTGCTCTTGCTCTAAAAAGTGATCTTAAAGGACGGACTCAGCAGAGAAAACAGCTGGTCAAAGACAATTTTGACTGCTTTGTCTCTTGCAAAACCACAATTGATGGTAAGAAATTGTCACATCTCACTCGGGGATCTGGTTTTTATGGAGATGCTTAATTTTAGATGTGTTTTACAGTTCAAAATTTTGAAATTACCGAAAGATGTGCCATATGTAATATCTAGACATAGTGTAGTTTGGTTACTTGTTTGGAAGGTAAAATGTAAAATAGAGAAACATTATTCGGTAGTCTTCCTAATTTCAGACCCTAGAATTAAAGGGATGGCTAATTGTTATGATCACTTTGTCAACGTAAGCCTTTCTGCATTACCCTCATGTTAATCTTGTAGAGACATCTTGTTCATGTGGTAACTATCCAATAGCATCTAGCTGGAAGTCATCAGCGCCTGTCATGCACTTCTGGTTGCTTAAAAGATTGGACTTCCAACTGGCATGCCTATTCTTGTAATTTGTTTGAGAGATGTAATTGCTTTAGTGATTAAAATACACCTATCTTGACATAATATGAACAGCCACTTTTGAACTTGTAATTTGGAGTACCTCTGTGGAAAGCACATCAAAACAAGGCAGTTGGTTTACTTTTATGTTTAAAATTTGCTTGTTAGCTTATTCCTATTGGATTGAGACACAACTTCCCAGTGCCTTTATTTATTTCTTCCTACTGTATAAAAATGTGAAAGCTCATTTGAAACATAGATACTAGTTAAGTGGGATGCTTCTTGATTTCTGATGTGGAAGATGTTGATTATTGCACAGATATTGAGTCAAAGTTAAAACGGATTGAAGAAGACCCTGAAGGTTCAGGCACTTCTCATTTGTTTAACTGTATGCAAGGAGTGAGTTCGTTGGCTAATCGTGCATTCCAGCCTCTATTTGAGAGACAGGTTGGTAAGACTTAAATTTTTTATTTGGTTGGAGATTTATGTGCAGTTATGCAACTTGGATGATATAAGCTTCATCTAGTTTTGTATGACTATAGGCTCAAGCTGAGAAGATCAGGTCTGTGCAAGGAATGCTACAGAGGTTCCGAACGCTATTCAACTTGCCCAGTACAATTCGTGGTAGCATAAGCAAGGGAGAATATGACTTGGCAGTTAGGGAATACAAGAAGGCCAAATCGATAGCTCTGCCTTCTCATGTATAAGCAATCTTTATTAATTAGATTTCTTGTGTGGGTAAAATTAGATAATTTTAAAGCTCATAAATCGCATCTATGATAGTCTTGTACATATGTTTGGAAAGAAAGTCGCATATATGCTAGTCTTGTATTTATGTTTAATTCATAAGTAAATATTTTGCAAGGTCCTGATAATAATTGTCACAAGACTCTATTAGACAGCTGGTTTCATTTCCCTTTATTCAGAATAAATACAGCTTAGTACGCTATTAGATTTCTCTAATCTGTTCAATCATTTTGCATTAGAGTGCACTGTTCCTACTAAATTAGATGTACCTTTGCTATCATTTTATTGCAGGTGGGAATACTGAAACGTGTACTTGAAGAGGTTGAAAAAGTGATGCATGAGTTTAAAGGGATGCTTTACAAGTCTATGGAAGATCCACAAATAGATTTAACAAATGTAAGCTCAACATGTAAATCTCGGTAATATTATATTCTTACCAATAATGAAAGTACCATGAGGTGTTCTGTCCTTAGTGCTATAGTCATGAATTCCAAAGTACAGGTCCTTCACTGGCAGAAGTAGAGTTTTTCCTTTATCCTTCTTCCACATTTTTGGTCATTATCTAGCATATCGTAAGGTGAAGGACCAGTTGCTATCTGGTTAACTTTCAAATTAAACCTCAAAGATTAGAATTTCATTTAAGATTATTGGAAAAGTTGTAAAAGTGATGAAAAGCTTAAATTGTTTCTAGTCTAAGAGGCTTACGGTCCCCCTCATGTTTTTGTAAGCGAAGATTGAATTTTTACATTAGAGCTTGAGTTGTTGAGCAGTGATTAAGCTTATTCTGTATGAGAAGAGAAGGTTCTGAGTTGAACCTCTATAGTTTCAACCCCCAGCTCCAAGTATTATGTTGAATTCCATTTGTTTAGCTTTATTGGTGGAAAGAAGACCCCATATAAGGAAGAATGAAAATATAAAATAATTCTTGGCCTACGTTATAACAACTCAAGATTTTTGAAAAAGTTGTGAACAGAAGACTTTGTTAACCACCTATAATCTCTTCTTTTCTTCATTTCCTTTTTGTTTTTGAAATCTTTGTGGGCCCATTTTTCACCTATGACTTTTTGAGAGTTGATAGGGTGATTTTACTAGACAAAATGATGCACATGCATTGAAGTGAGTTGTTGCGTGAGACTCCATATCTTGTTTACCATTATCATACTTTCGTGCTTGTTAGCATTTATTATTGTTTATTCTTTTAATAATTTTCTACTAAAAACTTTATTATGCTTAATGTAGCTTGAAAACACAGTGAGGCTGTTATTGGAGCTGGAGCCTGAGTCAGATCCTGTATGGCACTATTTAAATATACAGGTTAGTAAATTTGTAACTATACATGGGATTTATTTGTTTATTTTTAAATTTCCTTGTTTGTAAACTAAGCAATGCTGATTAGAATTTTAATCATCATGATTATTATCATTGGAATTCGAAATTGCAGTGCTTGGTTGTTGAATCCAGTCTCTTGAGTATAAAAAGATTATTGTGCCACATTCTAATAGCTTAAAGCTTTTGGAAATAATGATAAACCAACCAAAGCAGGACGTCTTGATTAAAATCTTTGCAGTTGCTGTTCCAAACTTATATTAAGCACATAGTATGTGCTCTCTGGTGATAGGAAAGGCCTTTTTCGATCCGGGGAGCTTTCTTTGCCCTTAGTCGCAGGGGATTCTCTGCTTTTTAGGAAGTTCTGCCGTTGACCTTATCTTGTTGCAGATACATATAAAAAGACCCAAAAGGCCCACATATAAGCGGGAACGGTAGACTGTCTCCATATCTTTGAATGATCTGAACATCTATTTTTTATATATGCAAATCAAGGAGCGTCCTTGCTCAAAATCAATTAAAACAGAACCACCATTTGATTATCATAATGAAATTTCAGTGTTTACTGGCAATACCAAATTTGTTTATTTGTTAGATCACAGTTAGATGCATCAGTCCCTTCAGTTTGGCCTTTTTTTTCAACAAGGATAATCTTTGAATGGAAGCTTAAAAATTAGATTTGCATCACTGCACTATCACGTGGATGGAGTACAATTATCTTGCCAGACTGAATCTGGACCATACTGGCAATAAAGGGTTACAGTCTGGCGTCGGAATGGGGTGGTCCAAATTTATGTAATGTATTTCTAGTGGAGTGGTCTTACTTGTTGATGGTTGATATTTATGTTCTTTTCCTTTTAATTTGTGGATATCTCGTCCTCCTATGCATGTCGCTCATTCTCCATGTTAATAGAATCTCGTTCTTAGTAAAAAGAGAGGTTAAACCCTAGTTCGTTTTTCTGACACAATCTCTTTCTTCCCTCACACCATGTGATAAAAATCAGTCAGAATAAAAACAGAGGACATGGTTTGTCTGAATTTCCTATGCACCTGAATATGACTGTACGCGTTAAGAAACAACTAGAGGGGTGCCCATTGTCAATGTACTGAATTCTTTTTGTTCGTTTCTTTTTCAGAATAACAGAATTCGAGGTTTGCTTGAGAAGTGCACCTTAGATCATGAAGCTAGGATGGAGACTTTACATAATGAGTTACGTGAAAGGGCTCTGTCTGATGCAAGATGGAGGCAGATTCAAGAAGATTTAAATGAATCTGTAAGTGTAATCCTTGGATCATCTTACACTGAGGAACAGCTAAAGAGTGGGTCAGTGCTTAACAATTTGTTCTTTTACACTATTGTCAGTCGGATGTCAACTATTCTTTTGGGGACAACCACCTTCCAGTAGATTCTCTGCCAGTAGACTTGACAGGTGAAGAAGTTGATGCTCTTAGAGGGAGGTATATTCGCAGATTAACTGCTGTACTTATCCATCACATACCAGCTTTCTGGAAAGTGGCACTTTCTGTTTTCAGTGGAAAGTTCGCAAAGGTATGTTTAACACTTTATTCTAACTTCGGCATATATGTAAGATCTACTCTTATTTATTTATAAAATTTGTCTTCTAATGATGCTCATGCGTTTTGTCTTATATACAGCTCATAATTTTTGCTCTGTATTTTGTTCAACAGTTCCAGAAATACATGTTTACATGCACGTAATGCACACATGAATATATTTGGTCTTCCGATGCATTAGTATGATAAGAGATACAGTTTCATAGAACTGATTAATTATATTTGGTCTGTTAACATACCGCTGTTTTCCTTAATCACATACATCAATACTGCAATATGAAGTCAACTGTAGAAGGTAGGCTGGAAACTTTGACCGGCTTATTTATTTAGAAAACCATCAATATATGATGAATTTACCAATACACTGTAATTTGGTAAAATTACAATATTCCACAGGGAAATCTTGTTAGTTACAATGTTCCCCAGTACATGCTTATCTCCCACTTCATCTCTCATTTACTTTTTTACCTTCTCTTTTTGTATTTTTTAAATGATATTATTTTGCTTTTACGTATCCATTTTTCCATTGGTGAAATATATTCATTCAACATGAGACGTGAAGAATGTAATGGATAGAACTATAGATTGTTCTTAGTATACCTAGTCAGTCAGTAGCTGCTATACTGTGGAGTATGGACATCCAATTATCCAAACCTTAAAATCACTTTTTAACATAAATACCTGAGAAAAAGAATGTAAACTTCCAAACTGCAAAACCGGAGTTTCTTAGTTTCTGCATATTTTCCCTCCTTTTGGTATTCTTATTTCTGATGCCGAAGAGGTTGATTTCTGTATCTCTATACTGTCATGTTTGTTCAAGCATCATATTTGAGCTGGTGCATATTTATGTGAGCTGCTTTATGATAATATGCATGGAGAACTTTAAACCTATTGCGTGTTCAACACTGATTGAAGCAGCTATATGGCCTTTCACCCCTAGCCACAGTTCATCCCCGTATTTTTCCACATACGTGGGTTCGGTCCTCCAATGCCTGTTAGAGCTCTCTTCAACCTGCTCATGGCTAGGTCGATTGGTTTCGGGTTAAATAGGAAAAACTAGAAGATTCCACCTCTGGAAAGTGCCTACACCTAATAGCTTAAGCCGCTGTTCCCATTTTCTCGCTGACCCATCATGCAAATTCAGTGATGAAAAACCATATTTATATTTGTGTTGCCATATTTAAGTGATCATTTTTTTTTTCTGTGAGAGATGATTTCACTTCCATTCTTATGACTTTCAATTGTACAGTCGTCCCAAGTTTCTACTGAATCAAATGCTAATGCTCCGGCAAATAAAGCTGAGGATAAAGTTGGAAATGGGAAATACTCCACTCATTCTCTTGATGAAGTTGCTGGAATGATACGGAATACCATATCCGCGTATGGAGTCAAGGTGAGTATGCTGGCTGGACCTGCTTATTACCAATTAGCATTACATAAATGGAAGGCTTAGTTCATTAAGCTTAGGTACATAGATGAACGTGGATATGTTTGAGTACAAAATTTACCGATATGGTTTGTAATTTTTAGTAAAACTGAGTATTTTCTATTGTAATTGCAGAATGACAAATTTTCTTGATCAACTCTGTTCTACATTCTTTGATGCTTTATTTTGTTTAGAAATAAGGCTATCTGGATAGTGTAAAGAGAAATGGTGATTTTCCTTCAAATTTAAGTTGCTATATTTCTTTTTTGTTTGTCTTATGACTCTAATCAGAGATAGGGAGCCTTACAAATATAAATATTAAAATGTATTTTAATTCTATCTGCTGTATTTATATGTTTCAGATCAAAATTTAGTATCAGCTCATGCCAAACTCCATTTGACTGTCGTTCTTTGCATATCTTCAGTTTAAACCCACATTCGGTAAGTAGTTATAATTTTATTACTCTTGTTCTTGATGTAGGTTTGCAATACGTTCCGTGATCTTGAAGAATCAAATATTCTGCAACCGTATATGAGGGATGCCATAACAGAAATATCTAAAGCATGTGAAGCTTTCCAAGCAAAGGAATCAGCTCCTTCTATTGCTGGTATCTTAGCTTTCTCTTTACCTGCAATGTGCTGGTTTCTTGAAGTGTTCTGAAGGTTGGACTTGCTTTTGTTATAGTAACTGCAACTCGAGCGCTTCAGTCGGAGATTACAAAGATTTATATCCTAAGGCTTTGCTCATGGATGCGGGCATCAACTGCAGAGATTTCAAAAGACGAGACATGGGTTCCTGTATCAGTTCTTGAAAGGAATAAATCTCCCTACACAATCTCTTTCTTGCCTCTAGCATTCCGTAATGTTATGACATCAGCAATGGATCAAATCAAGTTGTAAGTCCCTAAACGCGACTTAATCAAGGGTTTTTATGTGATAGACAAGCTCAAGATTAAGTGTTCATTACCCATTTCTCTGCAGAAGTTCAGAACATTCACTCGTTATTTATGTGTTCATCATTAACAGTTATATATTTCAGGATGATTCAATCTTTAAGAACTGAGGCTACGAAGTCAGAAGAAATGTTCATGCAACTCCAAGAAACACAAGAATCTGTCAGACTTGCCTTTTTGAACTGTATGCTCGATTTTGCAGGTATGATGGATGACTACCTAACTCAACTTCATGTTGTTAAGTATTTAATGTCCAGTTGTGATGCTTCCATTCTCTGCACACTAATCAGGTCATCTAGAGCGCATTGGAAGTGAGCTTGCCGTAAACAAATCCAAAGGAAGTTCACATGTACAAAATGGATATTCTCATACCCTAGAAGAAAAGTCTGATCTCCCAGGTAGTGTTGGCCCACATCAACAGTTGTTAATAGTCTTGAGTAATGTTGGCTATTGCAGAGAAGAACTTTCTTATGAGTTGTACAAAAATTACAAGCACATCTGGCTACAGTCTAGGTATGTGGGCCCTATTTTTCTCTTCATTGAACCTTAGGATATCATCATGTTTCTTGCCCTATTTATTAGGAAGTTGGATATACCTGATATATGGAATGTTGTATATAATCCACTGAAGTAAGAACCCAAGAACCAGAAATCATATTGGCTACTATCTTGTATCTTCCACTCTCAAATGGCTTAGTCATATCCAGTAACTATTTGGTTGGATCAAGACGGACTGGAATTTGTATGTTAGTAGCAGGCTTTAGGATATTATTCTTTTGTTTAAAGATTCATTTGTGAAGTAGGGGCTTCTAGCTCAAATGGTTAACTGCATTTACTCATCCACATGAGGTTCTATGTTCAATTCCCCCTACCCCAATAAAAAAAAAAAAGGTCATACCCAGTGCACAAGGCTCCCGCTTTACGCAGGGTCTGGGAGAGGTGAATGTCGGCTAGCCTTACCCCCATTTATGGAGAGGCTGCTCCCAAGTCTCGAACCCGAGACCTACCCCAATAACACTTGTATAAAATAAATAAAATGCATAAGTCGATTGTTGAAATCTACTAGTTCACATGAAAATTTGCTACACCTGTGATAAGAATGCGATATTGAAGGTGGTATTGAATTTAGTGTCAAGTAGATAGACCAATGGGTTTTCCTGGCCATTTGAAATGGAGGGTCAAAATGTTCCCTTAGAGGTTAGTTGGGTCAAAGATGCGGATGTTCCAGGTTATAAAAAAAGTTAAAAAACCCAAACAAAAACAAACATTGGACCAGTAGGTGATGCTCATCAATTGATAGTTGACTCATGCTCATTTATTGATGGTTTAAAACTTTTATGCACTTATATGATCTGTTTGGTTATGCCTGATTACCTTGCTATATATTTTCTATTTACTTTTTAAAGGGAAAGAGAGGAGGAGGATGGTGACGTACAAGACCTAGTTATGTCATTTTCTGGCCTTGAAGAGAAGGTCCTTGAGCAATATACTTTTGCTAAGGTATAGTTGAACACCCCAACACACAAGCACATCTTCTGGAGGTCTACTATATTATCTTGCTCTTCTCGTTTGTCAGTGTGTGTTACTGTGTGGGCATTTTCTACATTTACTGCCTTCTTGGCTAAGAAAATGTAGTTAAAGTTATAGGTCCACTTCTGTTGATGTGTTCATAACTTCATATATGATATAACTGTATGAGTGCAGTGGTGCGTCCTTTCTGAAAGAATCTCTTTTTACTTTGTTTATAATAAGGCAATCCATTTCCTTTGTGCCACATGGCATATTCTCTCCCCATTCTTTTGGGGAAGGGGTGAGTTTGCAACTTTTCAGGTTCAACACCTGTCCAGTTGTGTGAGTAAATTTGCCTGCAATCATTCCGTCCTTTATGTGAACACGGCTGACATTTTTGCTCCTATCATTTGCTCACGAAATTCAAGTGGACATGGATTGAAGTTATGATGCACTTTCTGTGGTCCTTTATGTGAAACTTAACAGTTATCTTTCCTCTCAGGCAAATTTGATCAGAACTGCTGCCTGGAACTATTTGTTGGATTCTGGTGTTCAATGGGGAGCAGCACCTGCTGTAAAAGTAAGAAACTTTAGAATTTAGCATTTGTAGTTGTACTTCTATTAGTATTTTCTTTTCAATAACTGAACTGGAATCTCATAATAAGATCATAATAAAATGGTGTCTTGCAGGGTGTGCGTGATGCTGCTGTGGAGTTACTGCACTTTGGTAGCTGTGCATGCAGAGGTAATTAGTGCAAGCCATGTATTATATTAATTTTTAGTGTCTTTATTCTTTAGGCCATAGTATGAATCGGTACATTGCCTGCTCCTATGAGCATGTAAATATCTTCTTTTTTTCTTTCTGTATGTTATTTTCCAGTTGTTATGACTTATGCATATTTGCAGTTTCATATTCTTAGCTCTAACTTTTGAGTCGTCTTCTTAATAAACTTAATGAAATCAATTTCGACTATCCAGGTATTCTCTGGTGCTAAGCCCTTATTGGACAAGACGCTTGGCATTCTTGTTGAAGGTCTAATTGACACGTTTATCAGCCTGTTCCATGAATATGAATCGAAAGATCTTAGGTCACTTGATGCAAATGGTTTCTGTCAGCTGATGCTTGAGGTAAAAGATTTTTGCAGTATAAATGTTGTATCAAGTTGATGTTTTAATTTGCATATGGCTTTGGTGATGAGCAACAATAAATGGCAATTGCTCCACATTCCTTTGGGTGCTCGATGAATGATATTCTCTGAGATAACCTTTTTGTTCTAAATGCACCTTATTTTGATAAGATAATAATGTATCCAACACGTTATGCATATATTTACAACTTCCTTTGAAAAAATATATACATATATACATGTATATGTATATGTGACAAAAATAAAACCTTGAAAGGTTGATGTGAAATAGAAAATTACAGAGTGTTCATTTCATGTGATATCTCGTTGGGAGTGAGCAAGTCATTACCATCATTGATCATGCATAGTCATATGTGGTTCTAAGAGATTTCCCTTTTGTGTATATAATGCAGCTTGAATACTTCGAGACTGTTTTAAATCCATATTTAACTGCGGGTACAAGGGAGTCTTTGAAGTCCTTACAAGGCATACTTCTCGATAAAGCCACTGAGAATGTGTCAGAAAATGTGGAGAATCCAGGGCATAATCGACGAGCAACACGTGGAAGTGAAGAGGCGGCTGATGATAGACAGGATGGGATGAGTGTGTCACCCGATGACCTCATTGTAAGAAACCTTAATTCTCTAGTGATTTCTTCTTGTACAATGTTTAAAACACAATGCCAAGTTGACTAATTGGATAATGGTGACAGTTATGTGTGCATACGTATGCATAGTCGACTAGAATAATAATATTGGATTGTAAATAGGATGAAAGAAATCTTTACCACGTCAATTGGTTGTCATGTTAAACCTCGTAGTAAAGTTCTATGTTCCCGGTCTTTTTCTTATATGCAAATAACTCGAAAGTAATTTGTTGAATGCTTCAGGCACTTGCCCAGCAGTATAGCTCTGAATTACTTCAAGCTGAGCTTGAGAGGACTCACATCAATACAGCATGTTTTGTGGAGTCAATTCCGTTAGACTCGGTACCTGAATCAGCTAAACGTGCTTATGCTTCGTTTAGGGGACCGCTCGATTCTCCCAGCAGAAACTACAGAGGTAACACAGGATCCCCAGGCTACTCACGGAATAGGCGTCGATGAATTTGTAAATGGCCCAAGGTTTTTGACTTTCTGGTTTTTACCATTTACGTACTAGTGTTGTACTGTGATTACTCAGCTGAAAGCATATTCTTTTTATTGTTTTGAGCCCTCATTGAGCTTTTCTTGTTCTTTATTTTTACCTGACACTGTCAAGCACGACGTTGTATATTTCCTTCTATTGTGTTAATGCCAGTATAGTTCTTTTATGCTGTTAGATGGTTTTACACTTTATTTATTTATTTTTTTTGTATAAAAGCGATATTGGAGGAGAGAGGAATCTGAATACAGGATCTCGAGTGCAAAGGGTAAACATTCTTAACCGTTTGAGACATCAGTCCATTGCAGTTTGAACCAATGATGGTAAATTTTTCTGTTACTCTGTCATATAGCCATTATGATGGATGTTCCAATGGCCCGTTTGGAAATGCTTCTCTAAAAAGCAGTTATGTTCGTAAGTGTTCTGTAATTCATTTTTTCATTATAGTTGGGCTCGTTTGAAAATGATGCGCTTATGTGAGAAGCGCAAGTTCTATTGTAAGCAAGTTCATGTGCTTTTCTGACAATGAAGCGGTTTTGGTTAGTTGTTATATATCAAGATTTTATTATATGGCTAGCCCTCACAAATTGCAAATACTAATTTGTTAAGAAATAATCGGATTGAAGCACATTCAAACCAAAAAGCGCTTTTAACTATTTTAAAAGTACTTTTAGACTGAATTACAACAAATGTACAAATTTGAGAGCTGAATTTTGGGAAAAAGACCAATTCAATATATATATATATATATATATACATAAACTCTGTTAACGAGCCGAAGTAGTTCCAACTCTTTGAATTCAACGGTTGAGATGGATCAAAGCCACATTTAACCCATTCTCACCAAGAATACCTGCACTCTGATAAAAACACAAGTTATTTAATTTAATTAATAGGTGTTGAGAGTGGTTTAATTGGGCTGTAGCGTACGGAACAATCGTCTAGTGCCCCTCACTCTCGAGTAACCAAACAAAGAAACAAACAGAGAATCAGTCAGAAATCATGTTGAAGTTCCTCTCGAGAGTGAGGATCGAGTTCAATGCCTTGGACCCCCGAACGGCGTCGTGTCTGGAGTTCCTGGCGCAGTGCAACGCCCGCAAGGCCAAGGAGTCCAACCCCTCCTGCGCCGTCCAAGTCAAGCGCCGCACCGACGACCAGCCCCCCAAGATCACCGTCACCTTCGTCAATGGCGTCGAGCAGGTCTACGACGCCACCGCCACTCCCGCCCAGGACATCCGCAACATGATCCTCGAAAAGGGTCAGAGCCTCGAGACCGAGCAGATGTTCCGCGACGCCGGCGAGTCCTGGCCCGTTATTATCCCCGCCGACGAGCTCCACCAACCGGCCCCCGGCACCAAGGTAAAAGAGTTTACATTTTAATTCTCTCTCTAAGGGCTAAGGGCTAAGGGCTTTTTTGTGTTAGCGAATGTATCCTTCTTCTGTCTGTGGCATTTCGTCGAACATGTAACGTGCATTGATTGAAACTTGTAATTATGCTATTCTTTTGATTGGTGTATATGTTATCACCATTTTTTATTGCTATCCTTGCTGCCTGCAGTGCATAATGATCCCTTTACATCTCTGTTGATTTTTCCTCTTCAAATCCGACCCTTTTCTAAGCATACACACACACACACACACACACGTTGTAGTGTATGTTTTTCACACTGAATTTCTTCACTTAGTTACTCACAACTGACTCCCAGCTGCATTTATAATCATTCGGTTGATCGATGAAAAGATTTGTTGGGCTTCTTTTAATTTTCCCATTTTCCGTTTGGTGACTGTCTGTTGCTGAATTTCAGATGAAATGAAAGAAAATTGTAATTAAAACTTGAAAAATATCCAATTTTTGAACCCCGGAAATATAATTCCAAATTATGGTAGTTTTGACACTGATACTGACACTTTTATAGCATTTTCTTTAAGGTTTGTTTTCAAAATTGCAAACAAATCATGATTTCCGAAAGCGTTGGGTCAGTCTTTGGTGTCATTGTGCTGGGTTTTTGTCACCTGTAAGCCGTATTCAATAAGATAAAGGTGGTATAAGTTTTTACATACTTTTTCTTTCATCTCATGACTTGTTCAAGCTTCCATTCGTGACTGATATGCTTGTGGATTTTGATAATAATAGTACAATCATGGTCGTTTTGTTCTGAAATGGGAAAACTCATGACTCATGATGGTATCTCATTGCTTTTTTGTTTACCCACCCATGTTCATATATGCCTTCACTTTGGTTCTGCGTTAAAGTTCAGGATTGGCTTCACTGGCCTTTCCTTACTACTTGATCTACTTTACCATCATTTCCAAGATGAAGCAAGAATTTGGGAACAGGGATGTTGGGATTTGTTATCCAAAAAGAATCCCAATCATCGCCTCTTCACATCGAATCATAGTTGTTGCATCACCTGTTCATATCCAAATCCTTATTTGTCTGTCAAAATTGGTCAATATGGATTAAGGCCACCAAATGCTTTGTCGGCATTTCCTTATAGTGCCAAGGGGACTTCAATTTTATGTTTCTTGCATTTTGTATGTGTTCATGTGTGCGCCTTTCGATGCATTTGAAAGACAATTCCATAGCCTTTTGCATCTGCATCCTACCTTTGCTTTTATATGGAAGGATTGAACACCCCTCTTTTGATTATCTTAATTGATCTTTCACCTTCAGGCCTAGAAGGATTTACTTGTTATACTATATTATTTTCCTCATGGTTCCATTTTGTTGTTTCTTTCAGCCGAAGAAAGCGGAAGAGAAAAAGCAGTAACCTGTGATTGTTTGATCAAATATATTACTGGGGAACGACGCTTAAAGTAGCCAGGTCTGCTATATTTCCATTCAATGTTTCATTAGGAAAAGAGAGGTGTATTGGAGTTGGAATTTAGACAATTCTGTCTTCTTGTGTTTTTGCTGCAATGCAGAGGCGTTTGATATATTTAGTTAATGTTGAATCCTTGCTTGGAGTATGAATTGAGGATGTTATGAACCATCTTTTCTGTTTTTGACACTTTGGTTGGTTCTTATTGTCATGATAACATTCTTCGCAGCTTGCAGAAGCACACGCGTGAGTTCGCCTAATCAGCTCACCATCGTGCTCAGTGTTAACAACAAAACAATTTTGCATATGTATGTTTTGATGAAATGTTTCCATATGTGCTCTCAAATTTTTTGTACCACCGAATTGCTTTAGCTTATGACATAGAATCCCAAACAGTTGCTATGAGCATCCAGGATGATTTACTTATTTCTCCATACACTTGCAACCCAATACCCCAATACTCACAAGGACAGCCATGGATTTGGATCCCATCTGGATCCTTTGTGAGGATCCTAGGGATTCTCACATACTGTCCATTCATCGTACATCGTGCGGCAAAAAATTATTTTGAATTTTCTTAATTAAAATTAAACACAAACAGTACGTAACGAAAGCTGGCCGCACAATGTATGATGAACGAATAAGATGTGAGGGTCCCTATGATGCTTATAAAAAGGATCCGGAGAGGATCATCATCCAATAGTCATTAACCCGAAATGGCACCTAGGTTTTTCGAAGTGGCAGATCCCACGATGAGTGAGTGAGCGGAAGCTGTCAACAATGTACATATTGCGCTCTCGGCATCTCAATAAGTGATTTGTTTGAGCTTTGGATGAATCATCTTGGTCCAAGAGTATTGAGCTTGGAGAAACTTACCCTACAATTTTAGCTCAATGACCCACTACACAAGAAGGTCGATGGCTTTCCAATTCCAAACTTTTTTCAAACTAACAAAGAGAAAAACTGAGCCTGGACAATTAAGGAGGCGATGTTCTAACTTACCAGTAGGAGAGTAGCATGCCTCCACCATCACCACCACCACCACCACCGTCACAATAAAAATAAAAAATTTATATTAAATAAGATGGGCATTACTTTCCCTACAACTACAAGTGATACAGGTCATAAAGAGATTTTATCTCCAAATACTATTGGATTCTACATCTGTGGCGTGTTTACCAATCAGGGTTTGAATGGGGAGAACGGAATTGCATTCCTCCCAAAACATTCCAGTGTTTACTAGCACTTAGGGAAATCAGAAATTAGGTGGGGTCCACCCATCATCCATAGTTCAGTTCCTAAATTCCCCGGAATTGGATTACCTATAAAGAGGTGGTATTTGGACTCTGGGTACAAGGCTCCATTAGGAATCAAAGTTTTCTACCCAAAATACACCTTGAGCAGTCCCTCCCCTCTGTATTTGTTTCTCTCATAGCAAAGATCGCCCTTACCGTATGATCTTAAACAATGAACGCTCAAATCTAAATAGATGAAAAGTGATTGCATGGCTCGATTAGGGGAGGACGATGTTAGATTTTTGTTGTGTTTTGCTAGGTTTATAACTAAAAGATAATTCCACGAAAGAAAAGGATTAAGTACCTAAAACTCCCCAACCTTTTAATGTCATTTCAAATTAGTCTCAACATTTTTAAACATTCCAAACAAGTACCAAACTTATTGAGAATGTCATATCTGTTAAGTCTCAGTTAAAAATCTGTTAAATTAGCTAGAGCTTACTTTGTCTCCAAAGTCATGGAAGCATAAGCTCCACCAACTAACAATCACCACCACCACATCATGCCATCACCTCCAAACCCAACACAAAACCACCAACTCCACCTATAACTCAAATCACCAACATTGAGAAGAAGATCATGGATATTGCTGAAATGCTATGACTATCATGATGTAACCACCACCATCTTCACCTCCTACAAAGAAGAACTGGAAGTTTTACGAACTGAGAAATCGGCGAATGAGGAAATCATATGAGTAGAAACAAGCTCCTTGAAACCCTAACTGAATCCTTAACCCTTTTCTTCGTTAGGAGGTTGCCCTCCAAATGTAATTTCAAATTAAGTTCATTTTCAATTCAATCAATACTTATTTGATCATGGGGTTCCATATTATATAATCTATGTTTGAAATTCAGATTTTGAGCTAACTAATATTAATGTTGACCTTGATATACCCAATTGATGAGTTTTGAATATAATCTATGTTAATATTAAGTGAGGCTTGACGAATGTGACATTTTCAATAGATTAGGTACCAGTTTGGAATGTTTAAAAATGTTGAGACCAATTTAGAATGACACTAAAAGGTTGGGGAGTTTTAGATACTTAATTCAAAAATAAAACTGAAAGATAATTAATGGTGTGTTTTAAAGCTTTTCTCACAATGTTTTAAACAATACAAAAGAATTAGTAAACATCTTATATGAATCAATATCAATCATACTTTGATTCTACTAAATTTTGGTAAACAACTTAAACAGGAATCCGATTGTGACACCTCCTCATTCCAACTCCTTATCAATTCAATTCATCTTCAATTCAATTCCCCTCGTTCTGATTACGGATTAGTAATCGAGCCGCTAGTTACTAATCACATTCTTAATCAATATTAACTACAACACTCCACTTGAGCGTGTAAAAATTAAGAAGCAGGGACATCAAGTCTTCAGGCAACGTGTATGTCAAAATGAAGCTTGTGAAGAGTACAACAATTTTTATACCTCTGCCAAAGTGCAACACTGGCCGGAGAACCTCGAAGATTGCCAGAAAATAGTGTACCTCGCCATGGACTCGTCGGAGATTCAACATCTAATCTGTAGCTTGGATTTTGTTCTTGGGACCAAGAGTTGTCGAATGGTGGTGGTGAGTGTTGTCAGGGTGGCTGAAAAAGGGGCCAATCCCCATCATCAAAAATCTGGAAAACGTCGAGCGTCGATGCGCCTTGTACGACGGTCAAACTTTGAGAATCCTGGGTGGGAAATGATCGTGGGGTTGCGCTGAGTTGTTACCAGGTGGTGGCGCCGCTTGAAGCCACCAGCGTTAGCCAGAAAAGCCGTCGGAAAAGTTGCCTAGAAACTGGTTCAATGTCGCGGGTCCGACTTGTGATCCGAGTTGTGCAACTGGGTTGTTTTTCTAAAAATGGCCAGGTCCCCCTTCCAACAATCTGGGACCTTCTATTTATAAAAGATCCAATTTACAAAAATATCCTTGATTTCCTTACTTATTTCTCCTACGTTTTAACCCCGTTTTGCAAATGATTTTTGCATATGCGTTCGTTGGATCGAACTTTATCCAAAAATACTAAGAGTAACTCCGAAGGGTCAACGGATTTTTATAGCTACTTATGGAAAATCAAACTTTAACTAAGAAACCAAAAATCCAAAATTAATGAAATTAAAATAATTTGACAAAATTGCGAGGTAAGATCATTGAACAGTGAAATCCAGGGATAAGATTTCCAAAAAATTAATTAATCAAATTTAACAGAAATAACAATAGTTATTTCTAGGGTTCCAAATTTTCAAACTCACCAAATTTCAAATTGACTTGGGGGAATGAAGTATGGCGTCGAGTATTGTGCAAGGACTTAGAACGCGACTCGAAGGAAGCAAGCACCACGTTCTTTTTGTCGAACTGATTGAAAAAAATTCAAACCAACTTCGCCTTAGTTTTGAACACACGGTGTGGAAGTTGAGTGAGTTTCTAACGTCGGGCCGGATACAACAAGCACTAGACAACTTCGATTGAGTTTCGAACGGGAAGGAAGTCGACTGCAAATTTTTTGAAATCATTTGCAAAAGTGGGAGATTAATTGTCATCGGGTCCTATTTTAGATTTAATGATGGATCATTTATGATCAAGTTTCACCCTTAGATTGTTATGATTGATTTGTTTTCGACCGTTAAGATTAGATCCAACTGATCATATTTTGTCCGCATGTAAGGCGCGCAAAGTGCAGTTCACACCTTACATAAAAGAATTACATTAAATAGTAGACATGAATAAACTATCAACTCAACAATGTGATCAAGAGTATTGATATAGAAAAGGACTATTGCATTGCAATTCCAACTGAATAGGTAGTTGGAATAGGTTCTTTGCATCTTCTGCTTAGTTTTGGTTAGCCATGACATACTGCTAGGTGTCACTCATGACTTGTGAAAGTTTTGAAGATTAGAAATCACCAATCTTCATTAAAGAAAAAATTGAAAAGTAAGTTTCAATTCACAATCAATTAGTAAGAGTTCTAATCGTCCATTGTCCTGCTAAATAAAACTCAATGGATCGTATACCGTGTAGGTAGAGATTAAAGTACAACGAAGTTGAGTAAGTGCAAATAAATAATTGAGTTTTTATCACAAATGGTCCCAGAAATTGACCCACAACATCAAGATGGTCATTGAAATTGAAAATTGATCAATGTAGTCCTTGAAAATAGGTGTTGCAAATTAATGTGGTTCATCCGTCACAATTCTTCCAAAAGTTCTATTATGTGCTGATGCGGCACATAAATGGGTCCCATAAAAATAGTTTTTTTTTTTGTCACAAATGGTCCCCAAAAATGTTTATCAATCAATGTAGTCCTAGAAATAAGTGTCTCAAACCAATGTGGTGTTACTGTCACAATTTTTCCAAAAATAGGTTTAATAATTTAATAATTAATTAAAAAAAGTTGTCAACCCAGTAACCTAGTCCCGGAATCACCTCTGATCCAACCCACATCCCTCTACCTCCATCTATGGTAGCCTTCGTTGTCTCTTCTTTGAAAAACAAAATCTCAAGACACTCATATTGACATCTTTCGACACCTTCACCGAATTGGGAATACCTTTAGTTATGCCTTAGATAGACGTCGACTTTTGTGACATCCTGTTAATATTTTGGTGATTGACATCCTCACAATCTTAAACTTGGAGCTTGTTGGGCACTCCCCCGGTGATCTTGGCAATACGGAGAACGACGAGCTCTGCCTTGAGATAATCCTGTTGTTCAAAAAGGTATTTTGACAACCCTTTTTAATTAAATATTAAATTATTAAACCCACATAAGAACATAACAACATTTTTGAAAAAAATATGATAGAATGACTATATTGATTTGTGACACCTCTTTTCAAGAACTACATTGATCGATTTTTAATTCTATGGACCATCTTGATGGTGTAGATTAATTTTAGGTACCATTTGCAATAAAAACTTGTAAATCTTGTGG